TCGAAGGGTGCTCACGATCGAAAGTTGATGACGATCCAAGAGTGTCGAGGATCTAAGGGTGCTGAGGATCGAAGGGCGCTGAGGATCGAAGGGTGCTGAATCAAGGAATGTCCGAGGAGGCTTCGATTCTGCGACGAGCATCGGTGTCGATGAAAAGGACAGACTCTCTTTCTTTTTTCTGCCGAAGAGATACGGTTTATCGTCGAGGCGTTCGTTCACTCACGATTGTTGACAATAAGCTTGGACAGCAAAGTCCACGTGGCAGAAGGCTGCAGTGACATCTCATCGGAAACGCGGAAACCGCGCGTAGATCAACTCTTTTCGACTGTCAATCAGAGAGAATTTATTAACATAAAACGACAAAATCAACGTCGATCCGATCATTTTCCTACAAATTTAACCATTGTCCACAGGAAAAAGGGAACCGTCCGGACACTTTCGACCGATAGAAACCGCATTGTCCAAGAAAAAAATGAAGCGTCCGGACGGTTTTGAGCGGTCGCGTGTACATCTCCGTCTCGCGATTAGGCGAGCTCGAATGATCGCGTGTGCGCTGCAGGTCCGAAACAAGAGAACAAGAGAGCTGTCTATCGGCGGGTTCCTCCTCGGAATTCAGGTCACTCGGCTAGATGCATCTCCGCGATGGCCCGATTATTCGCAGGATCGCGCTCGTAAAAAGAAAAAGCTCGCGGAAAAGCCGTGGAAAAAAAGAAAACGGACGACGTTTACGACTTCGGGATAGCGTTTTAATTGAAGCAGGCCCGACCTCGCACGCGATGCACTCTCTCGAGCTCGCGCGCGCGTGCATCGGCATCGTTAAATCGCACGGTCAAGGCTACGAAGGTGAGGCCCCGCTCTCTCCATCTGCACCTGGCTAAATTCTCGATTATCCCGCGAGAACCCGCGAACGGATCCTCTGCAATTTTCCTGCGCCGAGAAATCAACCTGCTCGAAAGAGCTTCCTTAATTGTACGCTGTGGAGAACGATCGCTTTCCTGTGGCAACGAAAAATCATCCTTTGGGAAATAAGAGTTCTTTGGAAAATCGACCTTTTTCTTGACTTTTTTCTGCGGTTATAGCACAGGTAGAGGCGAGGTAAGAGGAAGTAATAAAGTGATATCAGCACAAGCACAAAGATAAGATTGCTGAAGTACTGACAAATCACCGAGGAAGTGCAATCGTGAAGGAAGGCTTTGAAAAGTCATCCATCGAAGTGCAATTTCGATGGAAGGCTTTGGAAAATCATCCTTCGAAGTGCAATCTCGAAGGAAGGCTTTGAAAAATCATCCATTGTGGTATAATCTCGAAAAAAGGCTTTGAAAAATCATCCTTCAAAGTGCAATCTCGAAGGAAGGCTTTAAAAAATCATCCTTCGAGGTGCAATCTCGAAGGAAGGCTTTGAAAAATCATCCTTCGAAGTGCAATCGCAAAAGAAAACTTTGAAAAATCATCCTTCGAAGTACAATCTCGAAAGAAGGTATTGAAAAATCACCCTTCCAGGTACAATCTCGAAAGAAGACTTTGAAAAACCATGCTTTGAAATGCAATCTCGAAGGAGGGCATTGAAAAATCATCCATCGAATTGCGATCGCGAAAGAAAGGCTTTGAAAGATAATCCTGAGAAGGACAATGTCGAAGCGAGCCGCTGAAAAATCGATTCTCCTTTGGTCGATGAATAGCAGAGAGCGCACATTCCTGATGATATTGGCGAAGGCATCGAGGGCAGGTGTTCGGTTGAGGAGCGAGAAGACCCGCAAGTGGCTTGCGCGCACCTGCTGCCTCGAGATTTTGCAAGATCGCAGACGCGGGATCTCTCTCTGCCTCTTTCTCTCTCTCTCTCTCTCTCTCTCTCTCTTCGATCTCTTCGATCCCCGGAGCCGGACAAATGAAATCGTCTGGGACAGTTAGGTATGAGGAAAGCGCAAGAACAGACGCGATTACAGTTAGCCGCCGCGGTAGAGCGACCGGCACACGCGTTCTCTTACCTGTGCAAACTCGCGGCGAACGGTACACTAGATTTTTCTCTACCGAAAGCGCTGCCGAATCTTTCAGGTTCTACAGGGTGACTAAAAAATGTCTCACAATCCGGAAATGGTGGATTCCTTAGGTTATTTCAGGTAACTTTCTCCTTAGCGAAAATGCAATCCACGGCTTCGTTTACAAGTTATTAACGAAAAACGGTGACCAATGAAAGACGAGCGCGGCCGGCGCTCCGCCATCGCGGCCGATGCCGCGTCGCGCTGACTACCTAACGAAGCGGCAGTGCTCGCGTGGGCGGAGCGCCGGCCGTGCCTCTCATTGATCACTGTTTTTCGTTAATATCTCGTAAAAGAAGCCGCGGTTTGCATTTTCGCTAAGGAGAAAGTTGCTTCAAATGACCCGAGGAACACTCCTCACCCGTTTCCGGGTTGCGAGACATTTTCGAGATACCCTGTACAGCCATTTCGTATTCTCCGAACAGTGGAAACTCTTTGCAATTTCCTGGTTCAATGAAACTTCGGACCGAATGGTTAAATAAAAAGAATTCTAACTATCGAATCGTTCAATCGATTCGATTTTAACAATGAAAATAATTCGAGCAGCGATTGTAGGAACCTCTAGATCCACGACGGAAAGATCGTCGACTCGATCGATCCGTTAAAAGCGGCTTAAAAGTCTCGCGTTCGCGGTTTCGGGGAAGATCTTAATCGCGTTGCCGGCAAAGTGGTACGACTCGCGTAATGCTCGCGTAAAAATACCTTTTTTCCAGGAAACAAAGTGCGCGCCGCCTTCGCCGCTCTAGAAACGCGAGCGGCGATCGATAGTCCGCGGGCGATAAGCGGTGTAGATCTTGCGGGCGGGTTCGCGATAGCTTGTCTCGATCGAAAGGAGACCCCGGCCACCGTGGAAAAAGTCTGCGCTCTTTCTTCGTTTCTCTGTTTCTCTTTCTGGTCGATTCCATGAAACGGAAACGAAAGGGAAGAGGACCTCCTCCTCCTCTCCGAGCACCGGAGATCCTTCTCTTGGTCTCTCCAGTCCGCTGTTTTCTCTCCCTCGCGTGCTACCGTGTCGGCGTATCTGGTGCATGACAGCTGCCGGGGTTGCTCAATCGAGGAAATATCAAGTTTCGTCTAGCTCGCAGCATTTCCACGATAATACGCTGACACGATTACGCGACTCGTCGAGAGCGACAGTTCGAACTTTCGATCCTCGAGACCGACTGCTACCGTTCCAGACGCCACACGAGAGGCTCGGCTGCCGTGATCTTTGATCGATAGAGATTTTCGGCCGGGAGATTTCGACGCTAGGATTACGTTAAATTGACGTATTTGTTTTATTTTATTTTTTGAAGTCAATTTTTGGTTGTTGCAATTTCTTATAGTCTAAATAAGAGAGATTTTGAACTTAAAGAGATCTCTAAACAGCAGAGATGATGAATCGAGAGAGAAATTTAAATCCAGAGAGAAATTGAACCGAAAGATATCTTCAACCAAGAGAATTTGAACCAGGAGAGATGGAGAACCAACAAAGACCTTAAAGAGAGAGTTTTTGATCCGAGAGAGATTTTGAATTTTAACCGATAGAGATCTTGAACCGAGAAAAGTTTTGAACCTAGAACAACTTTGAACCATGATGGTTCCAGATCATGATCTCCGGAACCATCCGCTTCTTCTCTCTCTCTCTCTCTCTCTCTCTCTCTCTCTCTCTCTCTGCCCCGTTCCTCTTCGCCAGTTCAATTTTTCTACCGGTTGAGTCGAGGCAGCTCGAACACGTAGCATATCTCCTAGGTCAGGCTCAGAATAGTACGCGCACGTGCACTATTGTGCAACGCTGGGAACAGGCCTCGTGCCTCTTCTGCACTCCTTGCACCATTATGCCAGTTCCACAGGCCAATGGAAAAATCGATATCTTGGAACTACATACTTGGGAATTACTACATAGTACCACGCCAAGCCCTCTCTCTCTCTCTCTCTCTCTCTCTCTCTCTCTCTCTCTCTCTCTCTCTCTCTATTATCTCCATTAAGGCATTAGTTGTTGGGAACACTAATATGTTACGTAAACGATCAAGTCAATGTTTTAGCTTTGTGCTAGAAAAGCTGTGCTCGAGTTTAACGAACTGCATATTTCATTCAATGCTTCTCGTTCGTGCTTGCTGTAAATCGCGAGCGAATCTTTTGTTTGTGTGAACCGCATTTGTATGAAGTGCACTTTCATGAATTGTAATTTTTGTGCATTTATACGAATCGCATCTATGTAACTGCATTTATATGATTTTTGCATTCGTGTGAACTACGTGTGCATTAAATGCATTGTTATGAATCGCATTGTTATGAATTGCAATTTATATGAACAGCATTGTTACGAATTGCATTGTTATGAATTGCATTTATATGAACTGCGTCTATACGTGTGCTAAACAGAATCCGCTCAAATAAAAGTAAACTTCTACTAAAACTATAATTCTCTAAAACTATAATTTAGAATCGCTTATAATCGTCTTCATCAACTTTTTTTCTCCAAATATAGTGGCCATTATTTTATCCAAAAACCTTAACGGAAGCATGGAAAAAATTTCATTAATTTTCAGACACCAGCTAGTAAAACAACAATGCTATGAATTCAAATGGACCCACAACCCTTTAGCGTTAAATGAACGCAAAATCATAGCCGATGCAGCGAGAGAAGCTACTAGATGATGCAACTCTTTTCCCGCGAATTCGCATAGACGCATAAGTTCTCCGGTACAGCAATGTCTCCCTTACTGACGCTCAGATTGTCCACTAAAATGGACAATTTGGGGAGAGGAGACACGATTATTCGAGCCTTGCAGCTCATTTTTATAATCGTCGACAATACGTGACTATAAAAACAAACCGCAAAGCTCGAATAACCGCATCTCTTCTTCCCGAATTGTCCATTTCTGTGAACAATCCAAGCGTCGATTAGAGAGACATTACTGTAATTTGTAATTGACCGATAGAACGGTACAGACGGATACGAGGATGTCTCTGGTGTCTCACCTTCTCCTTTTCCGTGGCCTCGTCCTTATCCTTCTCCTTATCCTCGGCGACGTCCGTGTGCGGCGCTATGCCGTTGGTGGTGGGCTTCGTGTCGGTCTCCTCGATCCTCTCCAGCTTGCCGTCGCCAGGTGCTGCGGCGTCCCCGACACTCCCATCGGCCGGTATCCCCTCCTTCTTCGGCGTCGTCGTTATGTCCACGGACCTTCTGCTTTGTCTACCTCCCATCTTGCTCCGTTTGCCTCTCTATCCTTCCTCGGTCTCTCACCTGTCCCTCTCTCGTTCCCGCGCTTTCCGGATGCTGCGTCGATCAGGTGTGCTCGCGCGCCCAACAAAACTGACCTGCAATCACACCGTTCGCCGCCGATCAGACAGATTATCCCACCTATATGCGACTAGTCTACGGATTATCCATTTACGATAACAATGGAATGAAGTACAAGTATACACGATCTGACTGGCATACGTGCAATGCAGGGTGACCCAAAAATGTCTCGCAATCCGGAAACGGGAGAGGAGTGTTCCTCGGGTCATTTGAAGCAACTTTCTCCCTAGCGAAAATGCAATCCACGGCTTCGTTTACGAGTTATCAAGGAAAAACAGTGGCCAATGAGGGGCGAGTGCGGCCGGCGCTCCGCCCACGCGGCCAATGCCGCGTCGCGCTGACTACCTGACGCAGCGGCAGAGCTCGCGAGGGCGGAGCGCCGGCCGTGCCTCTCATTGATCACTGTTTTTCATTAATATCTCGTAAACCAAGCCGCGGATTGCATTTTCGCTAAGGAAAAAGTTGCTTCAAATCACCTCAGGAACCCCCATTTTCGAGACACCCTTTATATTAACCGCTTCGCAACCACGGACGTGCAATGGGATATCTCGCGTCATAATACCGCTTGTGCGGTGCCGCACGAACGGTATCGCGTCGCGAAATGACGCGTTCGAGAGAGCGAAACGATTAAAAGTCAAATCGAGTCAACTGTTTCATATATTACAATTACTTTTAGGATAAGTATAAAAGAGGCAGAAATAAATCTGAATGTATATATCAAAGAAATGTAAGCCAGAAATCATCGCGAAGCGATCGACTACTAGGATGGTCTCGCGGACACTTGTCGACCACCGATAAGATTGTAATATCGCAAACAACACTGGAAGTCGGCGTTGCAGTTTGCAGTTTGCACCTATAATGAATGACGTTTTCGTTGATTCGCACGCAGGTACGTTCTCGAGGTCGCGCAGTAAACGCCGGATCTAACTTCGAACTGGAACACACCGTCGTTTCCGACGCCGACTCTCTTGCCGTGACCGAAATGGGCGCATGGGGATCGATTCGAACGAACCGGCATCGTTCGGGTCGACACCGTGGAGACCGTTCGCAATCGGTGATAACAGGGAGCGATTTTTATGAAGCGTCATCGACTTCCGAGCGTTCGTTTCAACCGAATCAGCGACTTTCGTTTGCGAACGTCGCGAAATGGATATGTAGAAAATAGCGTTTTCTTTTAGTATAATTTATCGATTACTTCCACATTTATTTTCTCAAGTGTTGACAGTCGAAGTTGACCAGTTTTTAAGCAACATTTTCTCTTTCCAAGCAGTACAATATATTCTTGTAAAATTACGTTTTTCACATTATTATCCCAATACTCGAATAAAGAATCATTCGAGTAAATAGACGGAATAATCGACGACGAACAGCGAATAATCGTTGTTCGAATAAAATATTCCGCTAAGAAGAACCATTTGCATAACAATCCTAGATAAATATTGATGCGAAACGGAGGGAACAATGCCGAACTCTGGGAGAAACGATAAATAGAAGCAAGGTCCGTTTCGCGGTGCATCGTCAACAACGCGTTAAACGTCGGCTGAAACGGAGTTAGCATAATCTACGACTGTTTGGTCGCGCGTCAGAAATTTTCCTATACGGTCGCGTGCTCGTTCCGAGCGGAAGTCGCGGTTGCCCGTTGCTCGGAGTTGCGTCACACCAGGAGAGAAATCGGTCTTCGAAGAGAAGACAAACGGGCGGAGGACAAAAATCAGATAAAGGGAAGCCTTCACGGGGCATGGGCTTCTCCAATTATCGCCGAGAAAATGGTCCGCAAACCGTTTAGCGGACGTGAACCGATGGCTAACGGTTCCGAGGTCGGTCCCCGATGCTTCTCTCTCACGAACAGAGGAAGCGGGGTCCGTTGTTCGAGCGGCCTGCGAAAACCGGTGCCTAGACGACCGCCTCGTATTCTCGAGAGTTTCCGCAATTTTCGAACGACAAAATTGACGGAGGTAGGGCAAACGTTGCGAAATCGAATGCAGAAAATTGCATAAGGATAGCTTCTCTATTCTCTGGGGGAAAAAATCGCAAACGTTGCGGTGAAGATGGATTCGTTCGGATTCGAAAATCCAAGGAGACTTTGACGCTTCGTATCTTCGATCATTCTTGCAATTTCAAAAAAAATTGTTGTATCAAGGACAAATATTGCGCGATCGAACGCAAAAATGGACACTGGGAGAGCCGCCTTTCGCTTCGCCGGAAAAAACACAAACGTTGCGGTTTAGGTGGTGGCAGGTCCTTCCTGATTTGCAAAAGGAAGTTGACGACGATACTATATATATATATATCTTCTACAACGTTACGAATTTCGGGACGGAAAAATTGGAGGAAGGAGGTCGAACGTTGTGTAATCGAATGAAAAATACTGCATCGGGATAAATTTCTTCGTTTCCGCAGAAAAAAATAGCAAAGATCGCGGTGCAGGCGATGGCAGATTTTGTGATCCCGAAAAAGGGAAGTAAAACTCGATGCTACGCAACATTCAAAATTTCCATGATATTCCTATAAGAAAATTCTGTGATAGAGAACAAAGATTACGTAACAGAATGCAAAAGACTCGAAGAGAATATCTATTCCCGTTTCCGCGGAAGAAAATATCAAAGATCGCAACGCGGCCGGCAATTTCCGATCGCAACACGTTTGTTAATTAATCCGCGGCCAGGGGGTGCGACAGAGAAACCGCGGCTTCCGACAGCTAGCCCCCTCCTCCCCGGTTTCCCGAAAGAGAAGTTCGCACTGCTCGGACCGTGTGTATCACTGTCGCCGAATAATAGCGTTCGTCTCTGTCAGCCTATTCACGGTGCATTGCACTTTCGCGTCGGCGGCGCGCAACAGCTTCGCAACGCCGCGCCGGCGTTAATGCGTTCGACGCGACGCGCGGCGGTCTGCGTGTCGCTTGTGTACCGGGTGTGCTCTTGTAACAGGGTGCTCGGTTCGAAGACCCCCGCCGCGAATCGATACCGGCGGAGATTCATTTGATTTGGTAAAGAGCCGTCAGACACGAGGGCCAGACAATTTCCCATTTTCCGCGGGAGGTTTCCGTCGACGAGCGGCCCGGACGACACCGGAACGTACTTTCCACTTCGGCGTCCATTATCCGTATCGGAACGGTACAATGGAAACGTCTCCGCCGTCGCCGCCATTATTCTTACGCGAGGTAATATAACGGGACGCGGCGGCGGTGCACTCGGAAACCACCCCGGTCCTGCCCGGCGCCCCCGCCACCCTTGCGAACCGAATTTCCCGAGCAAATTGGACCGCGGCCCGCACAAAGGATCGTCCGCGGAGGGCGCGCACGCCGCTCAAATTGTTCCGCTTCGTTTCCAACCCCACGAATTTCTCGAATTAAGACGAGCCATTATCGAGATCGTGGTCAATTTGCCCGGAACCCTGGACAGCCTTCGCGTCGCCGTTCATTATGGTCGTTAAATACAGATGCAGAAAATCAGAATCTCGCTGCCGCGTTTATGTTGCCGCGGAGAATTATCCTCCTCGATGCTTCGAGAGCACCGAATTTCATTTTAGAGAAATCTGATTACCCTTCGTCCTCGAAGATGGACACAAAACGAGGAAGGAGCACAAAACGCCCTGAAATAATAATTCTACCGCAAAGAGACGAAAGCAGATAACACGACTAAAATTTTACCGAGCGAATTGAATCGTTTTGAAACGTTGAAAGTACTATAGTTCAGTGAACAACGTGTACCTGAATCGATATCTGCTAAAATATCCGATCAAAAATTATTTTATTATCATTATTTCTTCATTTTTCCTGTCACCCCAATTGCAATGCGAGCAAAAATGTGTCGACATGTATTTGTCCGTGATCAAAGCTCGCTGCGCTTGCAACCGCGTTCACATTTTTTGGGGGGCCATCGGAGAAAACTGTTTTCCCCCCGCAACGGGGGGAAAGGAAGCGTATAATTAGAGTACGGGCCGTATATTAGACAGCGGAAAGGGCCTCGGCAAATATTTTTGTTATTCCATATTCCCCGAGAGGGTGCGCGACGGGACGGTGCTACCGTAAAAAAAATAGATGCGTGTTCGACACGCCGCGCTAAGTGGCGAGGAGGGCCCGGACGCACGTGTCGAACCACCTCGCGAGGCTCGTGGGAAGCGTGGAAGCGCGTCAACCCGCGGAGAAAGTAGCCCTTTCCTGTCGTAACTCACTGGCACCTACGATTTATCTCGTGGTTCCTATATTTAGCCGATCGACGAGACGAACGCGAGCTTCTCCGGACGAAACGCTCTGCTCTCTCCGTTTCTTCGGGAGCCGCGGAACCACGCCCGCTCGGCTCAGGCCACGCCTACCGAGGCCGAAGCACTTCGGAATTCGATCTTTTTCGCTTCGATCTTGGTTTTAGGATTCATTCCGGAGATGTTATGACTGTGGAACAATAAAAGTGCGCTGCTTCGCAGGAGCGACAAGATCGCGTTTATTTAGGTTTGTCAACATTTCAATAGGAATGCATTATTATTTTATGTTAGAATCTGAATTAGAGATTCTAGATTATTAAAATTCTTTTTTAAGAATATATAAAAAAAAGAAAATATAAAAGAAAAGAACGCTGTACGATAGATTCGAATAAAAGCGTTTAACGAGTCTGAACAAATGCGATTCTGTCATTCATGAAAAATACTGTTATTCGTTAATAACTTGTTAATGGTGCCTCGGAGAAAATTTTTGTAAAGGAAAAAGTTGCTTCAAATGACCTGAGGACCCCTTCACTTTCGGATTGCGAGACATTTTTGGGACACTCTGTATTATATATACCGATTTTTCATTCTTTCAATCATACGATCGTTTCAAATCTCAGCCACTCGATTGTTTACACAAACGCGCAGAAATCCGCGGCCTAGTTATCGTTTCCTTTTTAATTGTTTCCTCCATCGTGCATCCAGCATTGCTCGACTGTCGCCAGTGACTCACGTATGATGCACGGTTGCCGTGTTTAACGACAGTTCCCAACGATCAACGATTTTCTGGAAACTTCGAGTCGAATCGCGCTGATTC